ATCAGTTATGCCATTTCCTATCTTCACGAGAGTTCATAGTTTTCTTTCACCAACGTGTAACTAGTAAAAATAAAATTAGCGAAAGTGCCAAATGTCCCTCTCAAGCCGAACAGCACCGGAAATAATCTCTGTGGGACACCTGAACTGACCACAAGATTAGACAATTCAGCCGCGATTCGTGCACTCTTCTCCTTGGTTCGTAACACACTGATCTTATTGTTAACGGATCGCGTCAAATCCCACAGCTGATTCTGCCAGTCGTCGGCTTCTTCGATAGCTAAATGAGTGAACACTCGAAAGCCAGGCCATTGGCCGAGGAAACCACTAGAACTCACATCTGGCAGCCAAAAGCCATTGCTGTCCGCTCCATTGCTGAGCGCTATGAGAGATTTTGATGACATGCTGTTTCTCGCCATCAGAAACCCGTTCAACTACCGTTCCAGCTAACTCGATTGTGTTGTAATTACTCGCTACTGCTAAATATAATTTAGTAACTGATAGCAATGGTTTCTGAAGCAGGGCACATCATCACACTGCGGAATTTTCGCAAAATATCTACGAGTCCTCCCCGCTCCCCCCCCCCCCCGCCTCCATTCCTCATTCGAGTGAGTCGCCTTCCAAAACTTACCTTTTCTCACATCAACTTATTACCAAAATTTCCGCAAAATGTTGCCGTCGAGCGAGGGAGGAGGTATGTGGGCTAAGGTAAGCGAAAAATGAATAATAGCGAGAATCACCCCCACCCCCTCCCCCAGGGCGAAATACGACTCTCTTCTCCTCTACACCAGACACAACTGTGTGATTTCCACAACGATGATGTGCCCTGTTCGCCAGTACTGAGGTATCCTGCAACATTAGACGAGAGAAGGTAAGTAGTCCGTGGTGTGTGAGCCCTTTATATATAAGAAAAGTTAGAAAAGGGCGAAGTCATAGTAGCAAGATAACCAATGTCATAGCCCCCCTTCCTGAATAGTGCAGACTACCGTAATCTTAACGGAAAACTGCAGACTGTTTGAGAGACAATGTATACTCACCTCCAAGAACGGTCCCCTCCACGCACGAAATGAATGGGCCCGCATCTGCAGCAGCGTGCCACTTTCTTTGTTCTAAAGACCACAAGAACGGGGCTGGAGGGTAGTAATTAGCGCGTGTCATATCCACCCGCGCTATCCTCATCGTGCGGCGTTTGAGCGATCGAAACAGTCCTCAGCGAGAGAAGTAGTTATGGAGAATAATCAAGGGTGTGGAGGTGAGAAGCGAGCACATTTAGACTAAGGTTGGGCGTGAAGCTGCTGTGCGGGAGCGGCAGGCGAAGGGTTGGAGGGCGGGCGGGTAGCAGTCTCAAGCACGCGTTCCTGGCGTTTTTAAAAAAGGCACACTAAGCAGGAGCAGAGCAGCATACAACAGACCCGATTTAACCACAGATGCCTGTCAGAATAGATGCACGGAGGCGGAGGTGTGTGGTTGTTTTTTTTGATTGGCAATGAAGCTAGCACTCCTGCAGTCGAACTGTTCTCGTTTGCAATATCTCTGTAGTAGGACGCAGGGACGTTAGCACTGGATGAGCATATCGACCGTGAATGACTGTAGAGTGTGACGGGCAAAAAACATATAATAAAATTGATTAATTAGTGATGGAAGTGTGTAGACGCAAGAATGGGCATTCAGACTTCACGATGTGCGCAGTCGACGGGCTGCAAAGTCACGCCGACACAGGCGCCTGCGCTAGGCACTTACCTGTCAGACAGAGATTCTTCTTTTCGGAGTACGGTTATGATAGCATTTGCAGGGAATGAGAGATCATCATCGCCGACACCTCTGTACGGTCGAAGAGCGCGAGCCAAAGTTGCAACGAAATAAATCCGAATGAGTACTACTGGGAGATAATTTTAGAGAATGCTTTTATTTGCAAACGCCCGAGGACGTGGTCCACGGAGACTTTGGACGGTTTACCGTCCACTACTATGTCTTTCTCACTCACTCCCTCGCTTCTGCCACGGTAAAGTGGAAACGCACAGCAATGAGAAAAGCAGAATGACATGTCCCCCGAAAAGACGCCAGATGGCAACGGTTTCTAGAAGAGAATGGGAATTCTTAGTTAAGATGTCGAACTACCCACGTATACAAATTTTTATCAATTTTGTTAAAAAGGTTGTGGCGCCAGCATGGCGCTAAATGGCTCGGCTGTCAAAAAGAATGTCATATTTGTGATCAGGGCATAAGAAAACCCCGACATGCCAAGATATTCAGCAAAAAATATTGAGATTTTGGGTAAGGTAAATTCACACGCGCCGCTTTTTCCAAGGAAAACTTCAGAATTCACTGAAACTCACTTTCTCCTCAAGTTGAGATAACTCTTGATAGCTGCCCTGTACGATATCCATTTGACCGAGTCCCAGACTCATATCATTCTCGCCAACTGGAAGCCTTAGAGAGATTCCACGCGTGAATTCTCGAGTTCGGTAATATTCCACGATCTGGTTCAAGTTCTCGAAAACTGTCTGATTCACTACAAATATGCGCCCGTCACGCTTAAGTCGATAATGCCAGATCTCGCCATCAACTCTGCAATGGAAACGTCGCTTTCGAAAATGATTTCTTCATCTTTTAGTCCCTTACCTGATTGATAGGACGAAGACACTTCTGTCACTGCTGGAGTACCTCAGTAGAAACGCCCCATCCTCGGACGTCTGACTGAGAAGGGCTTCAGCCTTGGCCTTGTCAGCTGTCTGCGAAAACCACCTGAAACAAAAAGTTGATTACACTTCATCCCCCGGAAACAGAGAGGGCGTGGCTGCGTACAGAGGGCGCGGCTGCGTATTTAATGTCAACATGGCGTGCAATGCCTTTCCAGTAAGATATTTCCATTTGAGACAACTATCACCTTCTCCTTTGCTTTGCAAAGGTATGGTTACAATTGTCTCGTAACGGCAGTATCCCACCAAAAGACAGCCGCCTACGCTCAGAGTGGTGCGCAGCCAAGCCCTCCCCATCTCCGGGATATGGAGTCAAGGCAAGGGCAACAGTAAAGAACCATTGCTTACGGCTGATTGAGGTGAGGCTGCGGTTGAGGGCATGGAGTTGTGAGAATCATTTTGAATGTCGGAGTAGTGAGATAGTTGCGGGTGTAGTATGATACCAGTTCGTACAACGTGTCACACACTTTATTTTCCATGAAGTAATACTTCTTCTCCTCTAGAATGAACAACACCTTTCATTTTTTCCCAGAAGACAAATATATAAAACGCTAAAGAGGAAGAGAAAGGATCAGACAAGTTCAGAGCACATGAAACTTTCCACGTAAAGGTGTTTTGAGAGGGAAAAGAATGCTCTGAAGGAGCACTTCACACTTCGCTAATCGAGCGCGTTGGACACGAGATCCAGGCGTGGTCAGCCTGATCAGTGCAGAAGATGGAGGTATCAGGGGGACAGGAATGAGGTAGCGCCAGCCCGTTACTTTTTCCTTTCTGCAAGCGACAACACTACATCATATCATTCGTATGAACTTTTGAAGAATGAAAGTTCCATTTCCTACTTCAAAGAGAACAGCTCAATGCAACAAGTACTCACTATCGACGATTCTTGTCTTGATTCGAACATGATGAACCTTCTCGTCGTGCAAAATTGTTAAGGAGTAGTCACCGATGAAAAGATTTGAGTCTCTCACCATGAACAAACCGTTCCCTCGAGATTTGTGTTGCAGTATTCGTTCTTTGGCTTCCTAGAACTCCAAATAATTACCAAAAGGGGAAAAAAGCGTTATAGTTATAACAATTTATAGGCAAAACTTCTCGTGCGGGCACGAGCTCGATTACCTCTCGTTCACAATGCCCGTGAAACCATTCCTCGGTGATATGTTGCTCTTCGGGACGAATTCCGAATCCAACAAACGATTCGTCCTGAATATGCATGACTGATGAGATGGAAGATATCAAGCTCCCCAAATTTCGCCTATTTCGGTATGCGCCACGCACCCAACATTACTCAGAAAAGCAAGAGGTGATAAACGCGTATCGGCAGTGACTTTCTCCTTCAAGCCTCGTTTCCAGCCTCTTACACAAGTGTGACTTAAATCAGTCTAGGCACATAGCACGCCAGTAGCATGGGCGGAGTTAGTTCTAGCGTTGGGCCTCAGCGCAACCATTGGCGCGCTGGCGCTCTTAGCCGTCTTAGAAAGAAGGGACCCCCACTGTTGAAGAGGGCATAATGGTAGGCTTGGCACAGCTCACACAATCAACGCGGAGTGTGCCATTATCCCCTGATGGATTCAAAATATTAAGCGCGATTTGGTCGACAGAATTGCAGTGTAGCGACAACTGGAAAGCAGATTCGAGAACAGAAAGAAAATTTATCTGAATAAATGAAAACGATGAATTGAGGGGTAGCGAAGACTGGGTTGCTCTTGGTTCGAAGGCCATCGGGTGATGATCACATGGGCGAAGGAACGGGCGAAGGCTTACAATCGTGTGTTTCTTCTGACACGACAGATTCGATATGGAGGAAATAAGCTTCAATGAAGAAGCCACAATGCTTGCGAGTCTCCGCCCACATGATAATCACCGAATGTGCCTTTGAGTGATAGTGTTTCGCCGCAGTCCGCGATGAAGATGTCCGCGTTCAAGTTACCACTCCACGAAAAGCAGTGGGCCCGATGGCTGGGGGCGGCGGTTGCTGCCTACGTCATTGATGGAAGGGTGGAGTGAAGTGTAGACGCACGCTGTCCGCAGCTCTTCAACCAGTGACATCTTCAGCAACCATCCTC